ACTGCGATCATGGATCACGCTGCGACCATCGCTGCACTTGTGGCCGTTCTCAACACCTCGCAGCTTATCATACACCTTTCCCTGAGGCAGATGCAGAGAAATCGGGCGAGGAGGCTACGGCACCGCCGTGAGAGCCTGAAGTCGGAGAGTGGCACAGAGCTGTCAGAAACCACGAGCCCCAGCGCCCAGGACATGACGTTGGCAATGGGGCATGTGGATTTTGTTGAACGGCGATTCTGGGCCCGGGAAACAAGCACGGAATGGTGGGACCGTATAGTGCTTCAGGTCTGGGATGAATCCCAGTGGCTGCGAAACTTTCGCATGCGGAAGGGGACTTTCCTCGAACTTTGTGAGTTGCTGTCCCCTGCCCTGAAGCGCAAGGACACCCGCATGCGAGCAGCCCTCACTGTCCAGAAGCGAGTGGCCATAGCCCTCTGGAAGCTTGCAACGCCGGACAGCTACCGGTCAGTCGCGAACCACTTTGGTGTGGGCAAATCTACCGTGGGGGTTGTTGTCATGCAAGTAGCCAAGGCAATCGTGAAGGTACTGCTCCCAAAGGTAGTGACCCTGGGAAACGCGCAGGTCATCATAGATGGCTTTGCCGCGATGGGATTCCCAAACTGCGGTGGGGCTATCGATGGGACTCACATCCCTATCCTGGGACCGGACCACCAGGCCAGCCAGTACATCAATAGAAAGGGCTACTTTTCAATGGTGCTGCAAGCACTGGTGGACCATCGGGGACGGTTTACAAACATCTACGTCGGATGGCCGGGCAAGGTTCATGACGCTCGCGTGTTCAGGAACTCTGGTCTGTTTAGACGGCTGCAGGAAGGTATTTACTTCCCAGACCACAAAATAACTCTTGGGGATGTGGAGATGCCTACAGTCATCCTCGGGGACCCAGCCTACCCGCTAATGCCCTGGCTCATGAAGCCCTATACTGGCGCCCTGGACACAGAAAAAGAACTCTTCAACTACCGTCTGAGCAAGTGCAGAATGGTGGTGGAGTGTGCTTTTGGCCGTCTCAAAGGGAGATGGAGAAGCTTACTCACTCGCTGTGATCTCAGTGAAACCAATATCCCCATCGTTATTGCAGCTTGCTGTGTGCTCCACAATCTGTGTGAGAGCAAGGGGGAGACCTTTATGGCGGGGTGGGAGCTAGAGGCAAATAGCCTGGCTGCTGATTACGTCCAGCCAGACAGCCGGGCCATTAGAAGATCCCAGCGGGACGCCCTGTGCATCCGGGAGGCTTTGAAAGCTAGGTTCCTGAGTGAGCAGGGCAACCAGTGACTTTTCAGTTTGTGGACAGAAAAGCTGAACCTGCCCCCGTTTCTTTACCCAGTTCATTTTGACTTTCCTCTCCAGTTACATACCCCCTTCACCCCCTTCCCCTTCCCAAAAAATAAAATCATTTCAATTTTGTTAATGAACACCGTTGTCTGTCTTGCTGTTTTCGCGGGAATATTTTAAACCGGGGACGCAGACTGTGGCGGGGGGGCGGGTTCAGTGTTCTGATGCAAATGATGCTTCTAAACTCCCGGAATGACAGGCTCCGCACTGGTGGACTGGTTATTTCAATGGAGCCTGCCAGCACTCCTGGGGGGGACTGTGTGTATGTGTCGGCTATGTGACTTTCTGGCAGGGGGGGTAGGGTTACAGATCCCCTGCTGCGTGGATCTGTGAGCCAGGATAAGGACCGCTGCATAAGATCTGTAACTGCCCTCCCCCGCCACAAAGTCACAGAGCAACCCCCCCCCCCCCCCCCAGAACATGAAAAACACCTCCCAGACTGACCAGGGTAACCAGTGACTGCACTGTGTATGTGTCCTGATGCTGGACCTGACACCGCCTCTGTACCCTGCTAAAGGTCACTGTCCTGTCCAATTACCAAGCCCCTTCCCCCTCTCCAGACAGACTCTCCCTCAAAAGAACCTGACTGAAACAGTAATGAACATAAACAAACATTTTATTGCGAACCAGACATGAAACGTGGGGGGTGAAACTTGGACGGGGGCTTGTGTGAGGTGGGTAGGAAAGAACTTATGAAATTTTGGGGAATGTCAGCCTTCTAGTGCTAGAGCAGTCTGCAGGGGTTGACTGAAAGTTTTAACGTCCCTTGCCGCCCCTCCTTCTTTGGACTTTAGGTGAGGGTGGTGTGGGACTTGGTGGCGGGTGAGGGCGGTTACAGATAGACTGCAGCGGGGCTCTGTCCTCCTGCCTCCGGTCTTGCAGAACATCCACAAGGCGCCGGAGCGTGTCCGTTTGCTCCCTCATTAGTCCAAGCAGCTTTTCAGTAGCCTGTTGGTCCTCCTGACGCCACCTCTCCTCCCGTTCCATGACTGCTCGGTGCATTTGTGACAAGTTCTCCCTCCACTGTGTCTGCTGGGCTGCCTGGGCTCGGGAGCATCCCATTAGTTCTGAGAACATGTCTTCACGCGTCTTCTTCTTCCTCCGCCTAATCTGCGCTAGCCTCTGGGAGTGTGCTGACAGGCTGGGTTGGGAGACAGTCGCAGATGTGTCTGTGTGAATTTTAAAAAGGGAGTGAATTCCTGAGACAGATAAATGAAATTGTATACAAAGAACCTAGTCTTTCTCTGTGAACAAGACCATGCACTGAACCTCTCACATGCGCACTCAGGACAAGGTCGAATTTTCGGCCGTCGCCTTCAGTGCCTGTGGACTTGCGGAGGTCTTGGAGTGTTCAGAGAACTGTGGCTGGAGACCTGAACTTCTGGAGCGGGCAATAATGGTAAGCCGCAGACTTGTGGCTGCTTAAAACTCCAGCAGTAGCACTGGCCTCCTTTCACATTGAAAGCAATGCCAGTCTCTGCTGCCAGCAATCAGGACAGCATCAACTCTGCCCCTGTCCCACCCCCTCGCGGCTGTCCCAGGGAAAGATCCCTGAATGCTGCCCCTCTCCCTCCACCGCGTGGCTGTAAAGCAGTCCCAATACTAACATTCCCCTCCCTAATTCAAAGCAGGGCGTCATGAGCGACATCACCCTCCTGAGGATCCCGGACACCCAGAGAGAACGCATGCTGCGGGAAAGCATGCAGAAACCGGGGCCGTATGCCGCCATGCTATGTCGTGCGATGATCCCGGAGTACTTGATTGTGGCGTGGAGGGGACATGTCTGCTACCACGGAGGGCCCACTAAGATCGCCCTACCCCGGAACCTGATCAACAGGCTTGAGCTCTACCTCCACGAGACCTACGAGGAGTTCTCCTACGAGGATTTCTCGTCGATCCCCGGCCACATTGACCGGATTTTCGCGTAGGTGCACTGGGACTTTGGAGTGGAGCGTCTTGGGCCTGGGAATCATGTAGTAACGGACATTGTGAAATTTTTTTAAAATACTTGGGACTAAATTGAGAAGAGCCTAAGACAGAGAAATCATGAAAACCCATTTGTTACCTTTGTAAATATTCCTGTTTTGTACCTGATTATTTTTTTACTAGTTTACAGCACTTTTATAAATATACCTTGTTAATAGTATAAACATTACCGTTCTGTTTTAAATAAATATTTACATGTTTACAGCACTTACTGCTTGATCCTTCCCCTGATTCTGTGTCCGGGGTAAGGGATGGGGACGGTTGGTACGGGATCTCGGTAAGGGTGATGAAGAGCTCCTGGCTGTCGGGGAAATCAGCGGTGCCAGCGCTGTCGACTGCCTCGTCCTCCTCATCTCCTTCCTCCTCTTCCCCGTCCGCTGAGGAACCGGCCGCGGACAATATCCCATCCTCGGAGTCCACGGTCAGGGGTGGGGTAGTGGTGGCGGCCGCTCCCAGGATGGAATGCAGTGCCTCGTAGAAACGGGATGTGTGGGGCTGGGATCCGGAGCGTCCGTTAGCCTCTTTGGTTTTTTGGTAGCCTTGTCTCAGCTCCTTGATTTTCACGCGGCACTGCGTTGCATCCCGGCTGTAGCCTCTCTCTGCCATGGCTTTGGAGATCTTCTCGTAGATCTTAGCATTCCTTCTTTTGGAGCGCAGCTCGGCAAGCACGGACTCATCGCCCCACACTGCGATGAGATCCAAGACTTCCCGATCAGTCCATGCTGGGGCCCTCTTTCTATTGGATTGCACGGCCATCTCTGCTGGAGAGCTCTGCATAGTTGCCACTGCTGCTGAGCTCCCCTCGATGTCCAAAGAGGAACTGAGATTCAAACTGCCCAGACAGGAAAATGAAAATGAATTCAAATTTTCCCGGGGGTGTGGCTGGTCAGAGCATCCGAGCTCGGACTGCTGTCCAGAGCGTCAACAGAGTGGTGCACTGTGGGATAGCTCCCGGAGCTATTACCGTCGATTTCCATCCACACCTAGCCTAATTCGATATGGCCATGTCGAATTTAGCGCTAATCCTCTCGTTGGGGAGGATTACAGAAATCGATTTAAAGAGAGCTTTATGTCGAACTAAATGGCTTCCTGGTGTGGACGGGTGCAGGGTTAATTCGATATAACGGCGCTAAAGTCGACATAAAAGCCTAGTGTAGACCAGGCCTAAGAGTCTTAGCTTGTGGGTATTTTCCATTTCTCAAAATGTAATAAATGAAGAGAAAACCTTTTTTATTGTTAAAAATATCCATCAGCATGGATCCCAAACTAAATATGAAAAATCTTCACCATTCAGTGTGTGTTGAGAAAAGTGCACATTTTGTTCATCGCAACTCTGGCTTTTTTAAGAAAAACATTTTTTAACCTACATAAAGTTACATTGGCCCAAGTGCTGCTACATCACGTGTTGTTATAATCCTATAATTAGCCAGATGTTTTTAAGATGGTTAACTAGTTTTAATGACAGTATGAAATCCTTCCTGCTTCAGTGACAGGATTTATCATTGAAAAGGGACTTCACATAATGTATAAATATTTTCCTAAACCTGTTGTTATTTAGCCCACAGTAACAGAAGGCACCAAAGTGTCTCAAGGAGAATTTAATTTACTGTTGGAGTAATATCTCTCTACAGCATGTTCTCTTTCTCTGGGGTTTGCTACAGGACTTACTACATCTGACAGAAGTTGATCTTAGGAAAATGGGAATTGAGAACCAAATCCACCGAACACACATCCTTTCCAATATCCTGCTGCTTCAGGAGGCAGAAAGAAAAAGAGGTAAGAAGTCTGCCATGTTGTTTCCTAGAGGTTTGGAAAATGGATTAATGTTACTTTCCAATCACAGGGCGTAGAGAAATGAATATGTTGTTTCAGCCTAACATATAACTTTGTGATGAGGCCCACAAGATTACAGTATTCAGACTGTAACAAGAATGGCTGATGGTTTAGCTACTTGGGGGATACTTGGGGGAGAAGATAGGGATCATTAACCCATTCTCATTTTGTCAGTATTGTGTTTGTCAGTAGAGTTCTCCATATTAGTGTCACTTTCTAGCACTCAGTCTTGATCCTAAGAACAAATCATAATGTTAGCAGACAGTATGATTGCCAAAAGGCTGATGAATCCCTTTTCCTCATTTGGAAAGACTGTAACCAAAAAGTCAAGACGAAGCAGTGTTCTGCATAAATTACTTCACTCTTGTGAAAAAAGAGGAAGTGAGCAGGGAGTGTTTGGTCTAAAGGGAGAACGGATAACAGCGGCACTTTACTCCCTCCTTTTCTATATGGGCCCCTGTTCTGAACTGTTAGGATTTAATTAAAATACCTTTTGTTTTATTATGATACAAGTCCCTTTCCCAATTAAGCACCAAAGTTCTGCTCAGAGGGGCTCATTACAGCTGTTCGAGTATTGCAACTCTTCAAAATGTTCTCCTCTGAGTGAGAACTCAGTAAGATGGTACTATTTAGTCTTGATTCATTGAAGAGGATCTTTCGAGAAATATTACTCTAGATAACAAGGTCTAATTATGATGTAGTCTGCCCAATAATTATAAAATATCCTGGGCAAAGGCTGTCACAGACTGCACAGAAGCCAACATTTTACTTTGATAATGTTCCTGCCTTTCATTCATTTCAGATGAGATGAGAAGACATGGCTGGGAATTGAACCATGTGTAGTGATACTATTCATAAATATTCTGTGTTGACCTACGCTAGTCTTCTGTGTTTAGGAATTGATATTCTGTGTGTCAGGGTTGAAAAACAACTGTATGCTCATGCAACCATATAATTTTTTCTGATTTTTTAATCAATTATAGAAAAACTTACATAATTCTGAAGAGGTCAAGTAGGGTATGTGACATTGTGCAGTCTATATAGTTTTATTAAAAATATGATAATTAGTGAATATAATGTAACTGGGATATGCTTCATGCAAAAGGTCTCTTGTAAGGTATCATTACAAAGCTTATAATCTACTGAGTGTGATCATCCTATTTGTATAAATGTACCACTCTTGTATCTGAAACTTGAAATATAACTCTGAGGGCCTATTGTAATTATGCAAAGTGTGGGCCATTAATGGTGGTTTGGAATCTTGATGACTCCCGTTAACCAGGACCATTGTCTGCAGATGGCTGTGTTCTAACTGTGAGTCTTCCTGTATACCTGTGTGCTGGCAAGTGAGTAATGAAGTCTTGCAGTGACATGTGATCATGTCACCTGAACTGGAATCCATCTTTAACCTGGTGCTTTTCCAGTGAGGGAGGGGTGAAAACCCAGAGGGACAAAGGGTTTCTGCCTTATGCAAAAGATATATAAAGGGGTGGAACAGAACAAGTAGGGTGACCAGATGTCCTGATTTTATAGGGACAGTCCCGATTTTTGGGTCTTTTTCTTGTATAGGCTCCTATTACTCCCCACCCCGATCCTGATTTTTCACACTTGCTGTCTGGTCACCCTAAGAACAAGGGACAGGAGAGGAGCCATCATGAAGAATCCCCTAGCTACCAACTGAGCTGGAACAAGAGCTGTACCAGGGGAAAGAATTGTGCCCAGGCCTGGAAGGTGTCCAGTCTGAGAAAAAAAAATTACTGAAGCATCTCTGAGGGTGAGATTATCTGTATTCAGTTTGATTAGACATAGATTTGCACATTTTATTTTATTTTGCTTGGTGACGTACTTGGTTCTGTCTGTTACTACTTGGAACCACTTAAATCCTACTTTCTGTATTTAATAAAATCACTTTTCCCTTATTAATTAACTCAGAGTATGTATTAATACCTGGGGGAGCAAACAACTGTGCATATCTCTCTATCAGTGTTATAGAGGGCGAACAATTTATGAGTTTACCCTGCACAAGCTTTATACAGGGTAAAACGGATTTATTTGGGTTTAGACCCCATTGGGAGTTGGGCATCTGAGTGCTAAAGACAAGCACACTTCTGTGAGCTGTTTTCAAGTAAACCTGCAGCTTTGGGGCAAGTAATTCAGACCCTGGGTCTGTGTTGGAGCAGACGGGAGTGTCTGGCTCAGCAAGACAGGGTGCTGGAGTCCTGAGCTGGCAGGGAAAACAGGAGCAGAGGTAGCCTTGGCACATTAGGTGGCAGCTCCCAAGGGGGTTTCTGTGATCCAACCCGTCACAGGGTAGTTTAACTTTCATAAAACAGAGTATACGAGTCATTAAAATGTAAACTCAGTATCTCATTCTTGTAATCTATATTGTGAATTTAACAGGAAACTACAAAACTTGATTATTGCAATGAGATTAGGAGATGTTTTGAGTGGAACCCACTTTCATTTACTTGTGAAGACTGGAATCTTGTTGCCTTCCTTAGATACTGAAGTGGTGAATGGGTTATTATTCACACTCGAAAATAAATGTATAATCAAAGGTGCTGCTAAGCTTTTCAGCCACCCACTGAATTGGTTTATAGACATTTTATATCAGTTCAGCCAACTCAACAAATCTGCCAAAAATCCAATAAAATAACCATCACTGTACCTAAATGTCAAACTCTTAGGTGAGCAGATAAAACAAGGAAAGGAGGCTTATCTCACAAGAATTGTACCAAACAAATGAAAATGTTTGTATCTGTAACTTCAATGCCAATGAAGGATCAACAAACACAAAAACGTTTCTGAAGAATGTCGATAAGAACTTTAAAAAATAAAACATTTAATGTTAGCAGAGCCCTTGGAGATAAGGAAAATATGAAAAATAAAGGCTCAGGCAATGAAGCCCTTAATGACACAACAGTTTGCAAATAGTCTTTATATGCAGTGTTCTTTTTCTGACTTCACAGCAACAATATTCCTCTTGAGACTGTATAGCTTCAAATGTGTAGGGCTAAATTGATCCCCAGTGTAACTCCAATGGCTTCAATAGAATCACAGCAGGGATGAATTTGAACCAAGAATTTTATTCCTGAATTACAGCATATATTTTATGTCATCTAGACATATCATTCTATTACCCTGCAAGCTGTATCACTTGGCTGGTTTGGTAATGAAGTGCTGGAGTTTCCTGAGCTAAGTTCTAATGAAAATGCAAGTAGTTCATTGTTCTGGAAAATAAACAATTTTGGGTGCTATTTTCCCCCTCAGTTTCTCTTTTTAGCTAATGAACAATTGTGTGTAACTAAAATATTCATTTCAGAGTGGGGCCAAATTTCATCCCTTGAGTTACTGTGTTGTTTCCAATAGACTTACCCCAGAGATGGTCCATTATGTTAAAAAACTCTGGGAACACTGTAAAACAGATCAGTTCTGTCAGTTAAACGTGACTGCAGACTGTTTTGTTTTCACAATAGGGACGAATGGCTGTTATCTAGTCTCCAGCCTATTATGAAGTGTTTTTGTTTTGTGTCTGTCTTTGACAAAGTGCTGTGTCTAGGAGCAAGAGTGCCTAATCATTTACACTGAAAACACTTGTTTTTCAGCACTGATCTGTACTGAAGTCAGACACTGAAGCATTAGTGTTTTCTTTACTTTCCACTCTTAAATAAATGTGCATTTCTCAGCAAAAATTATACCACTGCATAGTAAAAGATACTTTTCCACTCTGTCTTAATTTGAATTTTTAAAACAACCCAGATTAGCACTAAACTTGTTGTTCAGGAGTTTTCTATGGAGTACAAGGCAGAAGTTATTTTAATTTGCAAACACTCTCAGAAGTTGTTAGGTATTATTGAAGATATACAGGCATGTCTTAATGGTGATTTTTCATCTCTAAAAAGGTCTGGTTAAATGCAGAGGTGGAGGATTCTTCCACACCTCTGCAAACTCTGTTGTTAAATACAAAAACATGTCTGCCATTTGTGTGCTTCCTGATTCTGCCTCCCAGAAGTATTTGATTTACTGTTTCCTATGAGTATTTAATCCAATTTAGATGAAATTAGAATGAGGCATCATATATTTTGAATCAGTAACTAAGATCCTTTCAATATGCTGTTTGGTTCTGTCTACATGTGGCCATATTCTCTGCTGCAATCTGGCTCTTTTTTTTGCTGTTCAGGTAGTGCAAAGAAGCCAAAAAGCAATGAAATTTCCCCCATGCCAGGGCAACCCTCACCTTGGAGACTCCATAGTGGGCCTGGAGCCAACATAGGGTATGTCTACTCTAGAAATGTAGGTCGACCTATTTTAGGTTGACTTACAGCCACTGCAGTAATCACTGCGGTGGTGCATGTCCACACTACCTTCCTTGGGTCGGTGGTGCGCATCTTCACCAGGACCACTTCCACCGACCTAAGGGCAGTGTGGGGAGCTGAGAGCCCGGTCTCTCAGCTCCACTAGCAGTTCCCTGCCAGGAGCCCGGCTGCCCCAAAGGCTCTCGGGGTTTCGGCAGGCTGCCCCTACCCTCCCTTCCCCGTTCCCCACCAGGAGCAGGGGAAGCCACCTGGTGCTTCTCCCCATCCCATTCCGGCTTGTCAGCCCACCATCCCACCCCACCGCCCACTCCCTGCCAGGAACCATGCAGCCGTGTCAATTTCATGACTCACCAAGTTGTGAAACTGACATGGTTGCCCCCTTCCCTGCAGGGAATGGGGGAGGGGAGGTGCTGGGGCTTCTCACCCCAGTTCCCAGCTGGGAGTGGGGGCGTGAATGCTGTCAGGGCTTCTTGAGGGGGGCTTCCAGCGGGGGGGGGGGGGAGAGAGAGAGAGAGAGAGAGTATGTATGTGTGTGTGTGTGTGTGTGTGTGTGTGTGTGTGTGTGTGTGTGTGT